GTACACTCCCCTCCCTCGACCTGCTGGCCACGCTGCTCTGGATACAGCCCAGGATACTTTCTGGGCTGCCAGCGCACACTGCCCGTGTTGACAACACTTCCCAGTGTTGACAGAGCGAGTCTTATCAACATGCACAACCTCCACCTCCCTCTTTAAACAGCTGCTTTCTGAGCTTCCAGGCTCAGATTTCTAGTGGTAACTTTTAATTTATAGAACACTGATAGCCTGAAAAATTGTATGGAACTGGAGTAGGCACCTGATCTCCATTTCCGATAGTAACTTTTGTGTTGACAACACTTCCCAGTGTTGACAGAGCGAGTCTTATCAACATGCACAACCTCCACCTCCCTCTTTAAACAGCTGCTTTCTGAGCTTCCAGGCTCAGATTTCTAGTGGTAACTTTTAATTTATAGAACACTGATAGCCTGAAAAATTGTATGGAACTGGAGTAGGCACCTGATCTCCATTTCCGATAGTAACTTTTGCTGCAGCTGCAGAAAAATGTGGCGTATTCTGCCCCACTGTTCCAAGGGGGCGTTGGTCACTGCAGCCACGAGAGTCTCATATAACAAAGAGGGCGGGGAGGGGGGTTTACACAATGACCAAAGAGAAAGGTGGTCCAGGAACGAGTGACTATTGAAATTCTTGCTTGAATTATGACCAAAGAGAAGCTCCTTCTGCTTTCTTAACCACATCTACTAATTTTTTCATTATGTTTTTTTAATCCGAGTCATATCAAAGCATCCCTGAAAGACCAGAAAGGTGTATTCACGGCCTGTTTCTCTGGGGACAGCCCACTTCATTATTTTTATCTGGAAGTGTGTCCGGTTTCCTTCTTATTCACATGATGCTTTTGCAGAGCAATGGGGCAGGGGAACCACATCCAAAATCAACAGGACATCTGAAGCGTAAAGCTGTGTGACGTGATTCTGTGACCCCTGCACTCGCCGGAACTACCTGAGCTTGTTTTTGGAAAGAGATCCAACTTCCAAGTTGAAAGCATCCTTTTAGAAATGCCAGTCTTTCCTCCATCTGCACTGTCCTCGTCAAAGGGTGAACAAGGCCCTGAGGGCCCAAGACCCCGGACCCCAGCAGCAGGAACAGCCGCGAAGCAACATGCAGAGCCCCCAGCCTGGGTGCTTTTCCTCCGTAACACTGCCCTTGCTCTCATGTTGGGGGGTGGTGGTCAGCAAATCCCACAAACAGAAGGTTTTACACCCAAATATCACCTCCCATTATTGGATTTGGGGTCAGAACTCCCGTTTTCCAATGCCCTACGATACAGGCCACCTGATGCTCTCAAATGCATAGCCCTCCTGTGCCCAGGAAGCGGTACCCAGCTGCTGAGAAACCAACCGACAGCCGGCAGCAGCCACACAGGGAACCAAAGCACCTTGGTTTGCTTAGCTTTTAACACTGTGGGACCTCAGGCACCCATTCACATGGGATTCGTTTCTTTAAGATACCACTGAAAGAGTAAATTAACACAGAGAGATGAACAAAGTGAGTTTCTGGTTACACATTCTAGATTTCAGAAGTGTTGAAGTCCATGTCCCCGCATCAGCTACACGGCTGACCTTGCCCTCCCCACAGATATTTAAGCAGGAGATAAGGGGGCAGGTGTGAGAGAAGTTTTCCCGTGGTCAGAAGAGCAGCAGCATTCAGCAGCACAACCCGCTGACATCATCCAGCCGCCGACAGCGACCGAATGCAGAGCGACAGGGAAGCGTGCCGACACCACGCCGGCACTACGCACCCCAGCACGTACGCCGGCACTCTCCGTCTTCGGCGCAACCGCTTGCAACCTAGCGCTTTTTCTTCCAGATTTCAACCGTGGAGCATGAACAAGTGGAAATGGAAGATTATTCAAGGGAAAGCCCACCACGAGGTTAACTGAGCTGCAATGAAATATTTCTGTTGTAAACACGGGGAAACTAGGGAAACTTCTCCCCCCAACATAACCTCAGAACCTAAGGACACAGTAGCACCTCCCGTAAGAGCCAAGGTGGTGCTTTGGGAGCCTCTCTCCATACTGGGAAGGGGATACGTGTGCCTATGATGGGGACAACAAAGCTACACGTCCTACCACGTGCTTTTCCAAAGGCCGGCTAGCTAAGGTAGCGAGCTATAAGGTAGGACGTCCCCTCTCCCCTAAAATACAAGGCGAGCAGTACCTGCACAGTAAGCGTGCACCCTAAGCCCTCCCAGCACGAGCCCAGCACGCTCTGTATCAGAGTGTGTGCCACAGAAAGCCAAAAAGGCATGTTCTCCACAAAGCTTCCCATCTTCCCACTCAGTATTCGTTTTATCTTTATCATCATTTGGTCACCGAAGCAGAGAGATTTAGCAAATCCAAGCGACTAAGGATTTAAGCTCCAGCCCCACAGGAGGCTGCCATGGGATTTAGGAGTGACCTTGGGACATGAGCTGTCTTCCCCAGAGCTCAGAGGTCCAGGAAGACCTCACAGTCCGTATCTTCATACCACCATCTCCCATCAGCTCCCAAGGGGGCCTTGCCACCCACTACCTGCACCCAACAGCCCAGGAATGGCATATCCAAGGAAGAGAGGAGTTACGGACTCTGCTGCTGGAGGCAGGACGGAAGGTGCAGCAGCTTTGCACAGGGAGTAAAAGAGCATGAATATATTCAACACACGTACCTATTTATCAGTCAAATTGTGTATCTGCTTGGAGTAGGATACTTGAGTCATTCATCATTTCTTCCCTCCAGCCAATCTAACCAGATCCTACTTTTATTTGCTCAGTGCAGGCAACAGTGTTGGCACTATACTGGGTGCACACACACAGGAGAAGAATTCAGAGGGTCTCCAGGAGCGCAGAGATCCTGCCCGTGCCAGGTGTGCTGCATGAAGTCCTCCAGCGCCCACATTTCTAGGTCACTCTTTCAACTGGGAGGGAAAGGGGAGCAGGAGACACCAGCCTGGGGAGCACCCGGGGCATGGCTACCCAGGAGTAGCCCTGCAGAAGGTGGGACTCTGGTGGTCCCCTCAGATGTCAGCCCAGGAAGCATCTGCCCACAAGTCTGAATGCCACAGCATCATTTCAGATTCTAACAGCAGCAGCTGCCGCCACCTCGCAGAAAAATGTGGGCTCCTGGCACTGCTGCTGCTTCTTCCCTCCACTCACCACCTCTGGCTGTGGTCACACACTCTGTCTCGTGCACGGAGAAATGGGAAGCGATTCAGGGGCTCGAGAAATGGTGGTATAGAAGGAAAAAAAAAACCCACCGTTCAGGCAGGGTAAAACAAGAAGGGGAGGGCTCGCTGGTGTAATTTCGGGGTTGGTCTAGGATGATGTCATAGCACTGAGCAAGTGCCATGGCCAAACAGTGGGTACTTTTAACGCTCCCCATCCATCTGACCTCTAATGCCAGCAGGCTGAAATATTTAAGATTCCATTTATTTTAGCTTTAAAAGGCCATTTTTCACTCCGTTCCCTCAAAAACGTTGCTGCCGACTGCAGCCCGTGCGGACGGGAGGTGGGGGAGGCGACACGACAACTAACTCTTCCGGCACACACCCC